TAATCCATCGCATGAATTCATCTCTTGCTAAGCGATATTGTCGTTATCCTTGTTTTTCGCATCATAATGAGAGATAAAACAACAGAGGCACACATTTACTGTACCCTGGGCCCATCTTCGGAACGTCGCTTAACGCTCGGTCGCCCAGTGTCGTGCCAACGCAGTTTGTGTTGAATATTAGATAAAATAATATGCATTGAGGAAAATATAAAATATGTAAGTAATTTTTTTTTTTGGTTTATTATACTAGGGCCATGCCCAAGTGCCCTTACGGGCAAACCGTCACTGGCTGACATGAAACTAGGTCGACCAACAGTGCTAACCAAATAACTAGAAGTTGAATTTATAAAATATTAACTTCATATGGAAAGTAAATATTTTAGCTTATCAAGAAGCGACATTAGGAATAAGGCCTATCAACTTGCTGTCAGAAATAATCTGCCGAATCCTTTTGGCAAAGAACCAGCTAGAAAGGGTGGCTTAGGCTATTTATGAGGCATCACTCGAATAAACTGTCGTTCAGAAAACCAACAGGGACGTCTTTTGCTGGAGCAAAGGGCTTTTCTAAAGAAAATGTTTAGTCATTTTTTAAAATTCTAACAAATGAATTTCAATTTTAAGCCACCGGAATGTTTCCTGTTAATCCAAATATCTTCCAAGAGTCTGACTTTCTTGCTTCCGAAATTATCGAGCAAGATGTGGTTGCCTCTCGTCCAGAACTTAAAGCTTCTGAAAATCCGACGCCACCAGTAGAATTCTCCTGAGACGGTTGCGCCTGTTCCGTGAATACGCAAAAAAGCAACAATCGAGGAAAAAAAGCAGGAAAAGCTCTCGTAATAACTGCATCTCCCTACAAAACAGAACTTGAATTGTCCATAAGGCCTTCTGTGTCAACTACATCTAAACTTCAAATAAAAAGAAAAATTGGCTAGGACAAAACAAATTTTACTAATCCAGCTACTCCCAGCACCTCAACCACCAACCTACAGATTCAAATTTCAGTTCCATCTACATCTAAACTTCAAATAAAGAGGAAATATGGCCAGGGTGAAACAAGTCTGACTGATGTAACTATTCCCAGCACATCAACTACTATTGCTAAGTGTAACCGAACCAAGCAGCTCTTCTGAAGAAGATTTTGTGGCGGATGATGATTCAGAAGATTCATTATTTACTGGGGAAGATGAAGAATAAAACCCAGAGGTTGCAGAAAATCCTGAGTGCCGGTTCTGTAGTTGAAAATTTTTAAACAGCAAAAAATCTGAAAAACAGTGGATACAGTGTAAATTTTGTAACGCATGGTGTCATTTGCAATGTACTTCTTATGTATCTAGTATCTATATTTTCGATTTTTGCCAATAGAAATTTGTTATTGGTAGTTTTGGTTTTATTCCATATTTGTGACTCTAATTTTACAAAAGGGAAATATTATTATTTTAGTTCTGTTATTATAACTTTTAAAACGTTCTGATTTTTGCAAAAACAAGTTATAACTGTTTAAATATATATACATGGTGTTTCAAAAAGATTGGTCATAAATTATACCACGTATTCTTGGGCCAAAAATAGGTTGATTAAACCGTACTTACCTATATACAAAAATGCACTCAAAAATAGTTACAGGGTGTATAAAATAAAAATTTAAATGAATTTTTTTAACGTTGCTCTTAAACCGTTTAACATTTTTTCATGAAATTTTATATGACGTGTTGGAATATCATGACTAACAAAATCGAGGTAGAGGCAATATTTTTTTTTTATTTTTGTAGTATTTTGGAGGGTGTCACCGCACCTTTCTCTACTCAACTTTTTTGTAATATAAAATTTTATTAAAAATCAAACGCTATTGAAATGCGACATCTATTTGGAAACTTTTTTGTTTCTTAGTATTTGTTTGTAATATGTTTGGTTTAGACGATACAGCCACTTAAAATGATATCTTAAAAATATTCAATGTAAATTATAGGTATGCAAAAATATTAAAATTCTATTTCTATTATTAAAACTATGTAGTAAGTGTATACAGGAGGAGAATGTAATTTTGAACACCTGTTAAATATTTTTTTTTATTTTTATGACAGTTTGTAATTAAAAAATAAATGTTTATCTTATACACCCTGTAACTATTTTTGGGTGCACTTTTGTATATAGGTAAGTACGGTTTAATCGACCTATTTTTGACCCAAGAATATGTGGTATAATTTATGACCAATCTTTTTGAAACATCCTGTATAGTTATTAATCGTTTGTACCTTTTTCGTGTTGAAGAAATAAAAATATTTTATTAATTTTGCAGTTTTTAAAAAAGTATTCCATATTTGACGCCCTTCCTCTACAGTTCAAAAATTATGTCAATCTATTACTATTGTGTGATAAAACCCAAAATTTTAACCAAACGTTTCCAAATAATTTAAATATAATAATTTTTTTTTTTGAAATTCCAACTTATCCTAGTCTCAATCTTTGGAAAATAAAACTAAAAAATTAAGGAAACATTTTTGCTACAAAAATAAACTCTATTTACCAAATTAAGGAGATGCGCATGCGCAGAACCAGATAGCAGAAGAAATAGTAAACTTTTGTGTTAATTACATTTCTATTACATTTTATATTGAAATCTAGTACATTTTTATCACCTTCTCATAACAACGCTGCTTGCCACATAGCTTGCCAGTTTTAGTTTATTCGTGATTCTTGACTTGTGTTATTATTTGCTATTTGCCGATTCGTTTGGTTTGAATTAAAAATATATTTTATTTTTATAAAAGTGTGTTTTATTTACATGTTAAAAAACTGACAATCCACCTTTTCCCTTATTTGACAATTTCACATTACTCGTGCGCGAAAAAACTTATTTTTTATCTCTCTCTTATTCTCACCTTACAACTGTTGAGTTGGCTGCATATACTTTGATTACGTTTACTATACGGTGCAAGAGAGAGGTTTGACACGCCCGACATCGGGCGCGGCCATTTTGATTCCTATGCCACAGTTTATAGTTAAAGAATCAGATCGCTCACTCTGCGTCGGCTCTTTTGATCTCAATGTTCCAGTTTATACACTGCGCAACTCGGATAATACAATATATGACAACCGCCTATAATAAAACAGCAGTCTTCTGCGTATCCTAAATTTGTATCCCTGGAGTGGATGTTATTTTGGAACTTTCAACTGGTCCGGGTGAGCTAACTGATTCTTTAGCAATAAACTGTGACTCCAAAAATAATATTCACTGACACTGACAGCAGCAAGCAAAATATCAGGTGCATTTTAATCATCCGCTTCTTCTTCCGGAATTGTCGGTTTAGTCGTATTAACCTGTCAGATTAAAACAAGAAAACCGACAATTCCGAAGCAGAAGCGGATGATTAAAACGCACCTATTAAAAATATTGCGCCAAGATGTAGGCAACACGTAATAAGGGATCAAAATGGCGGGGTTTTCTATCTCCTTTTAAAAGGCACTCAGAAAGCTGCGCAGTGCGACCATTGTCTGTATAGTAAAAGAAAATCAAAGTATGTGGTTGGCTGTCATCGTTATTTTAAACAACTGTCATTTAATTTATATAGTTAGGGAGCCAGTAACACTTTTTTGGTATATATTTGCACAAGGCATTATCTAAACAGGCTTTTTTAAGAGGTCGTCTTTGCTGCAGGGACAAGCAAAGTAATTCCATGTTCTACAAAGTAAGAATAAACGAAATATTTTTAATTTTGCCTTGCCAAATGACACTTATAAAAAAGTGACTAGCTGTCCTGTCAATAATAAAAGCAGGGCTGGTATATCGGTGGTCGCGACATAGGAGTCCATCTTGGACGCCACTTTTTCAAAATAGTAGTCGCCAGGCTAGCCAATATAAGATAATAAAATCACCATATTTTTTAAATGACATTTTCATTATAAAATGCCCATATTTTTTAGGATAAAATATTTGAATTTAATAAAATATTATTAATAATAATAATAACAATATTATAACTTTATTCAATAATAAATTACATATGTATATGAATCATATCTATATATACAATAAAAAAATATGATTCTTCCTAAAAAAGAAGTACCATAAAAATATAATATGATATAATAAAAATAACAAATATTAAATAAAGTGGTGCTTTATAAAACAATTTAGGTAATAATAACAATAACAATACCAATACAGCTCATATAATTATTGTTTTATAATAATAAAAAAAAAAATGAATAAATGAACAGAGGAAGCCACACTGAGTACCGGACATCCAGAAATGAGAATGAGAAGCATTAATAATATCACATGTACATAGAATACGTCGTGAAAAGTAGATCACTTTCAATTTTGTGCTGTTTTGGTTTGGTTTATTTTAAAAGGTAATTGAAGAGATGAAGACAATTTTCTTATAGATGAGGAATTGAGAATGCATAACAAATTATGGCTCCCTTTTTTAGAGCTCCAGTCCCCTAGTCTATTTATTTTAGGTCTTTTTAAATTGTTGGTAGGTATTATTCACTTCATTTGTATGTTTTTATTTAATTTGAATAATTTTGTGTAATATTTTTCGATTTGTTTTCTATACATTTTAGCATGTATTTGTTCGCTACATCTTAAAAAGGATGGCTTTGAAATACCTTTACAACAGAGGTACTTTCCTAAAACTGATTACAGTTCTTACAGAAAATCTCCAGTAAAAAATGTCTGCATGCAGAATAACAGTAGCACAGGTTAACAAAGCTGACAAAAGGGATGGACAAACCTTTTTATGGCTTTTTTAATATTTCAGGGCAATAGTGTTAACAGCAGACCACAACAAGAATAACCAAAGTTTAGTAATCAAGCAAAATATTTCAGTATCTCCAGAAGTATAAACGTATGAAAACTGTAATAGGAAACATGTATGGCTTCGAATAGGAAATTACCCAAATTAGCATTAAATTTCTTAATTTCGATAACTGCATCTTTAGTTTTCGAATGTATAACCTATATTTTCACCTTTCTCTGTACAATCTTTTTTACTAACTCTAGCTCCTAAAATAGCCCACAGATTTTCGATATGAGTTGGATCTGGTGAATTTCCTGGCCAATCAAGGTAATAAATTGTTTTGTCTTTGAAATATGTCTTCTTAAACTTCGAACGTGACATGGATCCGATCTTGTTGAAAAGTTGCTTAAATAAACGATTTCAAATAATTTAAATAAACCAAAAAAATTAAAAGTATATTTTTTTAATTTTAATTTTCTCCATGAAGTTAACAAAATCCTGATAGCTTCTTTTAAGCTGTCATGGTAAGACATGTGTTAATATTTTATGTTCAACTTTATAAAACCATGAATGTTTGTATATTTCTATAGGCACTATGTTTGTCGTTTATTTCGTTTGATTTTTTATATTTAAATTTAATAAGAAACTTACAAATTTAAATAGGTATTAATTAATATATAAAAATTGTTTTTTCTACATTATAATGTCCTGATGATGGCTTTTTAATCAAAATTACATGCTTAAAAATCCTCTCTTCGTTCTTTCTTTAAATAAGTTATATATTTTAATGCCCGCTTCTGGTCTTTGAAAACCCTGAACAAAAAAAAACACTTAATATCAGACGAAGTTGGGACTTTTCTTATATCCACTCGTTTCTTTTCCTGTCTGAGAGTCTGACTTTCATTTATATCTTCATTGATCTTTGTATTTTTGTTGCTTTGTCTATATTCCCTTTCTTGAAAGAAACTCTTAAACTTAATGCACCATTTTTCGAATCTATGTGTATGTTTGAACCTATATGATATATTTTTAGCCTCTCCCTCCACTTCACAATAGGAGTAAAGAGACTAAAAACAAAACGAAAATATGAAATAGAAGTAGAATAAGAAGACAAACAAAGACAATCAAGCAGTTAATAATAATCACCGTAAAATATTCGCTAAAGCTCACTGATTTATTTGCGGAGCAAACCTATGTTTAACATTACTATTATCTATTATTAGCCCATTTCATTGACTACAAGTTTATGACTTATTTTATTACTACAAAACAAATTATCTAGATTCAATGAGACAGCTGTTCGTCATGTATATTTTTAGAAACGACAATAGAGGAACTGATTTCCTTTTGGTTCCATTTTTTTTGTTCGTAACTCATTGGAATACAAATTGGCTATTTTTATTCAAATTACGTATGCTGCCAGAGTTGTTCTGTAAGTTCGTATTTATTAGTTATGAGGTGACAGAAGATACACTGCGATCTAAATTTGTGCAAATTTTTTAAAACCAGTTTTTACATTAGAAAAATTAATATAAAAAATAAAAAACCTTGGACAACTTCAGTAATAGGGTGTTTAGCTAAAAATATGCGGATCGTATAATATAACTATAATCCGTTATATAAAAATTATGTCCAAGATGAGTTTTTCTTAATCTATTACCTCCAGTACAAAAAATATATAGGTCTACTATTATTCTATAATTGAAATTTCAAATAATAAGGTTTAAGAATTTTGGATTATTATTAATGATTTTTAAAAAATAAACAAGTTCTAAATCAGTTACGAATGATATTGATTTAGAAAAATGTAATCAGTTATATTGCTTAGCGAACAACAGGAAATAACTATCTTTAAGAAATAAAGGACCTAATCTCTGCAATTGCATCAGAACAGAGCTCCGTTAGATAAAAGCAAACTTAACACCCAGCTGTTAAAAAAGAGAGGTAAAACGAATCAAAAATAAATCTATTAGTGAGTACCTTATTGAGTTGACAAACGATAAAGCCAGTAATTATTATCTACGGAAAGTCACAAAGCAATTGAAAAGGTCCACTATACAGAATGCTCTAATCAGTAATACAGATGGCAGCTGGGCTAGAAAATACCATACAAAAAGTTTGTAAGAGCACTTACAAAATACCTTCCAACCAAATGAAGAAGAAGAATTACTGAGCTGAGATCTTCCAAAGAGAGATGACTCAATTATCAGAACAACCACTCCAAAGGAAATTGCAAAAGATATAAAAACAAATATTAATCCTGAGAAATTTCCTGGCTTTGATTTAATTACAGGATAAATTTTAAACCAACTTCCGAAGAAAGCCATCATTAAACTTATACACTTGTTTAATGCCTCATTCAAACTAAGATATGTCCCTAGGTTGTAGAAAGTAGCTAAAGTCATTCCCCAAACCAGGAAAACCTCCAAACGAAGTGTCGTCATATTGCCAATATTGTCGAAACTATTTGAAAAAATACTAATGAACAGACTGAAACTCATCACTGAAGAAAGGAAACTAATTTCAGATTATCAGTTCGGCTTTAGAGAAAACCATTCAACTATAGATCAGGTTCATAGAAACTCAAATACAATTGAAAAAGCAATAGAAAACAAAGAAGTCTGTTCAGCTGTTTTTCTCGATGTTGCGCACAGGCTTTTGATAAAGTATGGCATGATGGCTTAAAATATAAACTGAATGTGCCACTTCCACAGCCATATTCAGAGCTACTGGATTCATACATGTGAAATAAAATGTTTAGAGTAAAACAAGGTAAAGCATACTCTGAATTGAAAAAAATTAAAGCAGGAGTACCACAGGGTAGCGTCCTAGGACCCACTTTGTATTTGTTATATACTTGTGACATACCCCAACTAGAAAAAGACACAATAGCTATATTTGCAGATGATACTACCATCCTAGCGATAGGCAAAGTTCATGAAGAGGCTGCAAATAAACTACAAAAGTCAGTTATTCAAATAAATAATTGGAACAAAAGATGGCGTATTAAATTAAACAAAACCAAAATTGTTAATATTAATTTTACATATCGCTTATACTAATTCATCAAAAGATCTAGGTATTACTGTAGATGCAAAACCGCTGGAAGGGCCATGCTAAAAATAAAAGTCGAGTTAGATATAAAATTCAAGAAAATGTATTGGTTTCTTGGTAGGCATTCTAGCCTATCTACATATAACAAAATTATTTTATATAGACAAGTCCTTAAACCAATTTGGACCTAAGGCATTCAGCTCAGGGGTTGGGCTAGCAACAGTAATCTAATTCTCCGGAGATTCCAGAACAAAGCGTTGAGGAACATTTTCGATGCTCATTGGTACATTAGAAACAGCGATCTTTATTGTGAACTTCAGATGGACACTATTGACCAGACTATCACCAGATTCGCTAGGAGTCAAGAATAACGCCTTCACCAACATGTGAACGTTGAGGCGGTCCAGCTTCTTGACAACACGATCCTGACAAGAAGATTCAAGAAAGTAAAAATTTTTGAGTTAGCCAAGTGATTGTGTTAATAACAAAGTAAATCATCATGCGGTTTAGTGTTACACGTTAGTTTGGTGTAATTAGTTTATCAGGCCCTAAAGTAACACAAGCAAGTCGGACATTAGTTTTTAAGATTGCAACCTTAGTTAGTTAGGTTAGAACAAAATTACTAATTGATCAACTTTTAATCAGATTGTAATATTAATAAACGCCCCTTATTGAGTGTTAAAAAAAGTTATATTGCTCAATTGCTAAAAATTAACTAATCTCCTATTGATCCTTTAGATAATTTCAAATATACGCATGTTAACTACACCTTTACTCTAGACTCTACAAGTTTTAAAATAATAGTATGTTCGGATAATAAAAACCAAAAGCCTGTTGGTTATAATGACACTTCTATAAATAAATCTTCCTCAATCAACAATGTCGGTTCTATCTCTAATCTGATCTTCTTTATAACGCAATATCTTATGATATTAAGAAAAGCATGGTGCTATAGGCCACTAATTGTATTTAAATATGGAAAAAACTAAAATGCTAACCCTTAAATGTGTCCTACCAAATATGAAGTCATAAAAAAACTTATGGCAACAATTTAGACAATAATTGCTAAACAAAAAAACTTTCTTCTGGATGTTCATGAATCAGAAAGGTTTTATATCAACTAAATGTATACATTACGCTTTAGTTGAGTCCCATTTAAAATATGAAATTGTATTTTAGGTGACGTGGTAACCGTGATTTGTTCAATACTGTTTTTTATCTGTTTAGTTTATGTAGAGTGACCAATCTCGAGTAATGAAAGCCACTTTTTGTTAGACATAAAATGTTAACCTTAACATTGTTGGTTATTCGCTTACTCGAATAATCATTACTATTTTTTCTACGGCCATGTCAGTAAACGTTAAAAATCGCACCGTCAACATTCCTTGTAAATGACATTTAACAATAACATGCACGCAATGAGATCTCATACCATACACGTGCGTTTTCATAAGAAAACTTAAATTTCTTAGTTTAATAAAATTGCAATCAAATTTTTATCTACGTAAGACTTTATTTGGTTTATTTACCTAAATTTAATCAATTTAAAAACATAAAAACTTTTAGCATTAGCGAGATACATTTTAGATTAAAAAAATGATTCCCCTAAAATGTCGGCAACACATTATACAATTTTAAAAACTAAGTCGCGTTTTCTTAGCATGCTATGGAAATAAACGTCGTTTCGTTTATATTGTCAATTTTTGTAACAAAATATTATTGTATTCGAAAATTTTCTCAACTTTACCTACGAATATGTCTGTTAGTAGTGAAAGTGATGAAATTATGAGCCGGAGATTTTAGAAAATGCCACACATAATTTGTTACCGCTAAAATTCAAAGGAAGGTAAGAAATTACCTATCGAAAATTTATGGATTGGCGACACAAGCATATGTCCTTTAATAGAAGAAAATAAGTGGGCGTAGAAACAGTATAGTACATAACAAGAGTTGTAAGTAACCCATTACGCACGAAGTAAAAAAGTTTACGCACGAAGCCGCGCAGCGGCGAGTGCGTAAATTTCACGATATTTTTTTCTAATGCAATCCTGCGATGTCAAATGAAAGCATTTTGTAGTATGTTTTCAAAATGCAAAAAGATAGAGACATAAAACAAAAACGATGTGAAATTAGATAAACATTATGATATTTTTGTTATAATGAGATGCACTTTACTTGAGACGTAAAATAGAGGGCGTTACTATCTTTAAATTTTCTGATGGAAAGTGAAGTCATGTAATACCTCGTTTGAAAGATATTTTGATTATATTTACATCCAAGCAAATAGTTTTAATTTTTTTTGTTTTTACAAAAATAACATTCTTGAT